AAATTTTTGGCATTGCAGGACCATGTCTCTAGACTCGCATTATTTATTGCCCGGACTTCATTTTTTAGATGCTTCACATTTTTTGCAGGTTATTATTTGAATAATTTTGGTGTATTATGATTCGAGAACTTGAGAAGTTGTTCAGACTTTTTGAAGCCAAAGTGTTTCTTTTACTAGATCTTATACTTGCTCATGGTGATCTTCTTCTTGTTCATGGCACTTATGACTACTTTGAAGATTTGGATCTTACTTATCTGCTTCATTGGTGGTGCTTTGAAGCCGAAGACCTTCATTGTTTAGAGATTCATGGCCAGTTTCAGGCTTCACAAACACTTCCGAGTTTCAGAGACACTTCAGCATTTGATTCTCATTACGTTTCATTTTTATTATCGCACTTGCTAGTTAGATTACTGTATTATAGTCTTGTATCAATTATTGTATCTCTCATAATTTGTAAGCATTTAGGGAGAGATTGTTGGAGCGTGGAAATGCTCTACAAATAAAGAGTGATAGTTAGGTTGTATTTTTCTCTTTTTGTATTGTTGGTGTATTTTCTCTCCCGTATATATAAATGGAGAGGTGGTCATTTTTCATGTATGCACGTTTTTCACAATGTAGTCCTAGAGATGGGGAGAGAGAGAGAGAGAAAGAAAGAGAGAGAGAGAGAGAGAGAGAGAGAGAGAGAGAGAGAGAATTGGTGGGATCTCTCCCCACCAAGGGAGAATATTCGCTCCCATGTTCTTGTCATGTTCCTAATTTTTATCTCTCTTTTCTTTCTTAATTTCTAAGATTTCTCATCATATGTTCTTCATGGTTATATTTTTGATACACGATAAATTTCGAGATATTATTTCTTCTGCATCCACCGTTCGTGTGTGTGTGTGTGTGTGTGTGTGTGTGTGTGTGTATATATATATATATATATATATATATATATATATATATATATATATATATATGTTCAGGTTCATTTGAGATCATACTAATTTTCTGAGACTGTGAGACCAAATCTAAAAATAATTTTAAAATGGAAAATAAAAGGAAAAATCCAAAAATTATTTTTATTAATTATTATTTTTGGAACTTTATTTAACTAAAAAAATATAAAAAATAATAAAAAAATTACCTTTTTTAATAATATGTGAAATATTCTAATAGAATATTATACTGTACATATTCTAATATTATTTTTTGAATATTTATATTCTAGTAGATCTACCAGATATCTAAAATATTCTAAATATTCTACCAAAATATGTAAAAAATGTATTTTTGTTTTGTATTTATTTTGTTTTTTTTTTTTTGGAAAATATATTCCAAAAATAATATTAGAATTTTTTTTTGAAAATTTTCAATTATTTTGCATTTTAAAAAAGTTTTTGTTTTATCTAATAAATGAGTGGCTAGGATTACGTCTCACAGTTTTACAAAATTAGGTTGTCTCACATGAACCTAAGCATATATATATATATATATATATATATATATATATATATATATATATTGTAGGTAGATGAATATATGGTTGAGATGTATTACCATTCTAGATTTTTGTTTTATTGGAGATGTGAGAAACAACCCATGAAAACACACAAATATAATAGAAAAACTTCATCAAAAGTGAGAAAAAGACTAATAATAAGAATAAAAAGTTTATATGTATTAATCAATAAGAAACCTTTTAAGAAAAGAATCTAAAAAAATTTAGTGGCAATACATTCATCGGTATTGTTTTCAAGGAAATGAAACTATGCCTACATATAGGTAAAGAGGTATTAGGAGGAAACATTGAGAGTGCAATGACCATGAAATACCATGAAGTATATATAAGTTAAAAAAATGTACATAAATTAATCAATTTGCTTAAAAAAAATACAATTAAGTATATATAAATCACAAAATGTTTGAATGGTTGTTATTAATTATGTGGAAAGTGAAAAGTTTTGGAAGTTTCAAATGTATGTGGTACAAGAAAAAATGTCTCATTTATAAGTATAATAGGCGAATACTCGCGCGTTGCGTAGAAACACCTATGTAGTTGAAATCTTTACAAATATATGTTTTATTAAATATAATAACAACGTTGTTGTTAAATCTGGTATAATAATTCGTATTCTAAGTTGATATAATATATCGATTATTTTCAATTATATAATAATATATACATCTATTAAAATTTCGAAATCTCAATCGTTCGAATGATCTCTACCCGTAGGTTATCCATGAATAAAATTAAATATACTATATGGTTTAATGTTATTTATAGTTCTTATTATTGTTAATTAATTTTTTAAAATTTATTTGCTTAACGTTTTAATTTACATTATTATAATTATTTAAAATATCAAACATTTTTTGTAAAGGTAAAAATACAATAATTTATACATAGTTATTTTTAACTATTGTTACTGTAAGTTATTTTAAGCTACAAATTTAAACACTTTTAATAATTACAAAATATATTTAGAAAATATTTTACTTAAATAGAGATTACAATTTAGTTTTTGTATTTACTACTACAATTTATCACTTTTAACTATTCACAAAATATTATTGGGGGTTCTTAAATGGAACTGAAATTTATATTTAAGTTGACCCTATAATGTTATATATAAATTAATGATTTAATTGTTTTATCCAATCTGTTAAAAAGTTGTAGATTTAAACTGATAATGATTTAGATACAACAAGAGATTAAATCTAATAAATTTAGTATAATATGTTAAAACTTAAAGACATAAGTTTGTAAGTAGAAGTAAATATATTATTTGAATATTGAATTTTAGCTTATTAATTATTACACTTTAGGTTTGATATTTATTTAATCTTATCAACCAACTTATAATCATTATTATAAGAACGCTACAATTTATCACTTTTAACTATTTTCAAAATAATATTTAGATTGTTTAAGTTGAACTAAAATTCATATTTAAGATAATCATGTAATGTTATATTTAAATTAACAATTAAAGTATTTATCCAGACTGTTCAAAAGTTTTAGATTTAAAATGATAATGGTTTGCATACAACAAATTATTAAAACTAATCAATTAAGTATAATATATTAAAAGTTAAAAAAACATCTTTATAAGTAGAAGTAAAGACATATCATTTTAATTATGAAATTTAGTTTACATATGATTACACTTTATGTTTGACATTTATTTAAACTTATTAACCAACTCATAATCATTATTTAAAAGAAATTGAAAAGTAATGAGAGCTTCAAATGAATGTAGTGAAAAGAAAAATGTTGCATTTATAAGTATACTAGATGAATACCCGCTCGTTGCGCATAGTACAACAATATATTTGAAATCTTTATAAATATATGTTTTTTTAAAATATATTAATGATGTTGTTGTTAACTCTTATATAATAAGTCTTATAATATGTTGGTATAAACGTTATTTGTTTTGAATTATATGATAATATAAACGTCTTTTAAAATTCTATAATCTCAATTGTCTCAATGACCTCTACTTGTGGGTTATTCATGAATAAAATTAAATATGATACATGGTTTAATGATATTTATAGTTGTTGATAGATTAATTAATTTTAAAAACATTATTTTCTTAAGATTTTAATTTCTATCATTGTAATTTTATATATCATCAAGCATTATTTTTTCTTTTAAAGGTAACAACATAATTTTTTTTTATATAATGTTACTTTTAACTATTTTTATTGTAAGCTATTTAAAATAACGTATTTTGAATTTTTAATTTCGTTTCAGAAATTGAACTTTTTAAAAATTTATTTGATTAATATTGTTAGTTTCTTTAGTTTTTAATAATAATAATCTAAGGTTAATTTAATTAGACATTTAATTATCATCGTACAATCAGTGAGATGACAAATCGGCAACAAGTTGCACCGCTAAGCCTTTTTGAATGGTAAACATTCTTTTTGTTATTGAAGATAACATTATCATTTTTTATACAATATTACTTTTAACTATTTTTATTGTAAGTAATGTTTTAGCTACTTATTTGAATTTTCTTAATGATAATAAAAATAGAGTCATGGTTTTTTTTTTTTTTTTTTTGTTAATTTAGGATTACAATTTAGGTTTAATACTATAATTTATAACTTTTAACTATTTATAATATAGTCTCTCGATTTTTTCGAAGTTTAAATAAAATTTTGATTTAAGTTAACCATTTAACATTATATTGAAAATAATAAATTAACTATTTTGCATAAAATCATAAACTATATAAAACAATTGCTCACATACAACAATATATCTAAACTAATAATTTAACTAGAGTATGTTAAAAATTTAAAGTCATAATTTAATAAATATAAGTATAATATAATATTTTAATATTGTAGGAACTTAGTTTTTTTGTATTAATTTGACATTAGCAACCAATTTATAATAATTATTAGAAAGATTGCATAAAATCATAAACTATACAAAAGTTGTGACTTCAAAATGACACCTGCTTACGTACGATAACATGTGTATATAAATAAGTTAACTATAATATGTTAAAAAGTTAAAGTGTAACATCCTATTTATTAAATAAATAAATAGATAAAATTAATGAATGAATAGTAGCCCTAAAATCCATAATATTTCTCAGGATGTTGGTTTCGGGGAGTCAAATGACATGATTTGGAGTTTCGGGGGTTAAGGTGTAATTCCGGGATTTATTTGGTAAAGATTTTTAGAGGTCAAGGAGTGTTTGGTATATATTGGACCTAAATTTAAAGATTTTGGTGGCTAAGGGGCTTAATGGTAATATATAGACTCCAGTTGAAAATAATTTCTAGAGAATGGGCTATTTGGTATCATTTGGACTTATATTGGATAGATTTTTTGGGACAGTGGCTAAATGGTAATTTATGGACTTAAATTTAAAAATCTTTATGAAAGAGGGATCAAAAGTGTAAAAAATCATTTAAGTTTGAAAGGAAAACACGAGACTTAAACTCGTGCCTTCCCTTCCCGATTGAAGGTCTCATTGAGCAACCCTAACCCTAAAATGAACCCGCTACCACCTTGTGCTCTCATCTCAGCCGCCACCACCCGTTTCTCTAGATTTTTGACCAATAGAGCCACCGAGCGTAGCAATGTTTATTTTCCGGTGAAGAGCAGTCAATGGCGTGACTGTCGGGTGTGTCCATCGCCACCTTTCTGCCATCCTCCTCCTCTTTCTATTCTGTCGTCGCTCACAGTTGTACTTGGCTGTTGACGGTGCCGTTCTGACCACCCTTTGCTTTTGAGATCGTCCCATAGTAGCTAGCTGTCACCGCCACCACTAGTATAACTCACATTTCTATTGTTTCGGTCAAGATTCACCACTGTGAGTAGGGACCAACAGTGGGTGTACGTTCACGTGAAGGTGTGTCATGGTGATCCTTGGATTTACGGTATGTTTTCTAGATGGTCGGAAACCCCGAGAAAACCACCAAGGTTGCCAACCATGGTGGCTGTCGCCACTAATTTCTTTTCTGCTACCCTTAGCCGTAGTGTATGGGTGGCTGTGAGTGTGATATAGTGTTTGTGTGTGTGTGTTTTGCTTGTAAGGGGTTGTATGAGCGTATCGTGGCTGGAAATCCAAGAAAAACTCCACCACCACCACCATCATGAGGTGGTGCTTGGCACCTCACGCCACCATTCTATCGCCACCGTGGGTGGCTGTGTGCTTAGGTGTGAATTGGACTGTTATTCGAGATATTTTGATGTGTTTTGGCCTAATATCATAACCAACACCACCGTGAGATGGTGGCTGCCACTGTGAGCCACTACCAACTACCACCGCCCGATGTGGCAATGGATGGTGTCCGGGCTAATGGAACCCTATTTAACCTGAAAACCTAATTTGGAACCTTATTAAACACTAATTAATATAAAAGCTTAATCTTGGACCTAATTGACATGCGTTTGGGTTAGAAACCCTAATTAGGGTTTAGAAAACCCTAATTTTGGAAGATTTTAGTTTTGGATTGTCGGGACCCGCGTTTGGACCAGTGGATTGAAGTATGACTCATGCCTAATTACATTGTATGTATTTGGCCTAGTGGAGTGATGGACTTAATGGGTTAAGCAACAACACTTAACCGTAATTGTTATTTTATGTAAGTAACCCTGATTATGTTTGGGCTTCAAGTTTGGCCTTCTGAGGGGCTTTGGTGATTGGGTTATTGATTGGCCATCCAAGAACATGTTTATGGACTAAAGAAATTACTAGGCTATATGATAAGGCTCCTTAGATAGGCATGGACCCAATTTGGAAAACTTGGCCATATATGGGTCATAAATGGGCCTTAATGATTATGCGATATTGGACCTTTGATATGCTAAGTGTATGGACTAGGATTTTGAATGGTCATTAGGGTAAGGCCCATGTAACAGAGTTTGGGCTCAATTTGGAAAATTAGGCCATAAATGGGCCTTGGTTGATTATTTGGTTTTTGGGCCTTCAAGTGTGGGTTTGGGCCTTAGTCTTGGACCAAGCTAGGTTAGGGGTAAAAGGGTCCTTTTAGACTAAGTGTGTACTTAAGGCTATGTATTAGAACCAAATTATTAATTGGGTGTTATATATATATATATATATATATATATATATATACATACATATATATGTATATATATATATACATACATATATATATATATATATATATATATATATATATTAATATATATATATATATATATATATATATATATATATATACACTAACTTATAAAAGAATTCCTATTATTTCTATAAATAGATCCAATAAAATAATAATATATTTTTAAGGCATTCAACTCTCTAAGCATAAAGTACAACTAATCATGAATAAAATAATATTAAATTTCAATCTGATTACCTTTGAAATCTTATCTTTTCCAAAAATTTGACCCGATCTCTTTAATCCCCGATTTGAGTCAATGCTTATTCCTAAAATCTTGGCAAATATCTATCCATTGGCACGCCATTCCCTATATTGTTTGTTATTCCTAAAACTTAACCCCAACCTCAATCCACCTACAATCAACAATTAATAACATGAATCTCTCTGTTAATGGCGACCAAATTTAGTCATGCTCTTCACGTTCATCGTCAAATTTAGCAATGAAAGGTGGGTTTTCAGCGCCCGGTGATTACATCTACTTCAAGTCCCAAGTCCCTCTCCACAAGATCCCAATAAGTTTTTCTGGTCATAGATTTCGTCAATCTTTCACTTGATTATACATCTATTGACTTACCCAATTCGATAAATCACTGGTTTAGTTGGTATCGATTGTTACTTTCATTATGTCTAAACCCTATTTACAGTTTCGATTCGGCATCAATCGTTCGATGTTTACTCTTAATGAACCTAAAATTATTGAAATTCACATTAAACTGGAGCTATACTTCAACTTTTGAGATTAAATTGGCTAATTTGTAGCTTCCAATTGGTGTATTACTTACAAGCATAAAGCATTAATCTTTATAGCAAGTTCTATAAACAGAAAAAATGTTGATATTAGATTTTACATCCAAATTGATATAAGAATAACATATATGGACATTAATTTTGACATAAATTTTACAGATTTGCACAAAATAATGGAGATATTATGAATCCTGGAACTGCTAGAACAACAAATGTTTACTACAAACAAATCATGGCACTCTCCATGAAGGTAACAACAACTTTAACATTGTTAAAGACAAAAACCAAGTTAAAGTATTCTTTTTCATAACAAAGTTTTCAGAAATCTTTTTTTTTTCTTTTGTTTCTTTTTCAGGGTTATCGAGTGATTTCTGTTGATATTCCTCGTGTTTGGAACAATCAAGAATGGGTTCAAGCATTTGAGAAGTTTTTAGATGTTATTGATGTCCACCATGTAAGATTATCTGATTCCATTTTTGATGTTATTGTTATTTATTTATCTAATGAATTTTTTTTTTAACAGACATCTTCATGGAACATCACTTGGTGGATTTTTAGCACTACTTTTTGCTCAACATAGGCCAAGAAGAGTAAAGTCTTTGATCCTTTCAAATGCATATTTGGATACACAATATTTCTTAGTTGCAATGCCTTGGGCCCATGTGTACGTATCATAAAAAGGACACTTTCTATATACAATTATACACAAATGTATTTTTTTTGGACTGAATGAACTATGAGTAAATGACTATTTTACCCTTATGTAACATTGTTAGTTAGACCCCCTCTTTCCTGTTGAAACAGTATGTCCTAACAGGAATCCCAAATGGTCCACATGAACCATTTATTGCTGATTCTGTGGACTTTGTGTTGCACAGGTGAGTTTTATAAACACACATATACTTCCTAATAATTTGAAAAAGAAAATCAATAGTTTAAAGTAATTATGTCGTAATAAATATGTTAAAAATATAAAACCTGCAAGTTGAGACCCTGGGGGGATTTGGCTTCCAGATTGACTTTAATAAGTGATGTTGCATCAGTGGGACCTCTTCTTCTTTCGGATTCTCTAATCACTGTAATGGACGTAAGCTTCCATAACTCATAATCATATTAAAAATAACAACCTAAACCTATCCACCTAAGGAAATGTTAGATTTACACTTGCTGACTTAACACTTTGCTGTTGGTATTAATGAAATCGGAAACCAATTTTTACTTTAGAGCTGTATTACTAATAAGCATGAATTATGTTTCATGTCATTATGAGACAGCTCAAGGAATGTTTATCCATATTTGTAAAACATATGTTCTTGTGAATCATTTATTTAATTTTTTAATTAATTTGGTTAATAGATAATATTGTTTTGCAAGTAGAAGTGAAGATGCTACTGATATCATCATAGACTCATAGTACTACTTCTAACATAACTTTCTATTGGAAGGGTATGGATCTTGCTATGTTGGCGAAAGGGGAACTTAAGGAAGGGGTGTTGATTTAGGTTTCTTGGGATATTTATCTATTTTAGGCTGATGGGTATGGGCTGGAAAACGACATTGAGGAGGCTAAGTTGGCTAGCCTCAACTCCATACTCCATGGAGACTATTGGATCACTGCCCCGTCTAATGTCAGGCCGAATTACGTTGGAGTGATGACGCAAGCAAGACAAGACATATCTAATGTTTGTCTTTTATTGAAAGGTGTTGTTATTTATTATCATTTTTATTATTTTTCCAATAATACCTTTTCTTAGATACATATTATTTGATTCATTACTTTATTTAGTTATTACTTGTTAGTTTTGTTGTTTTTTTTCTTCATATTTGTATTTCTCCAATTATAATTTTATGAAAGTCAATATCGTGCATGGAATAATGTATTAAAATATAAGCTTAGATATAAAAAAAAGTATAAAATATTACATTATGAATAAAATTCTTGTGATGGATGCTAGAGAAAAGAAAGGTATAAGCAAGTCACTTCGTATGGATGTGTCCTGATTTCTAAAATGAAGGACTATAAACGTACACTACACACCAAAATATTTATTTTCTTTTGTATTGCGAGGGTTACATTGATTTTTTGCCATAAACCGATCGATAACAATATGCATATGTTTTGTGTTACTTGAAATATAACATTTTTCCGTATAGAACTTATTGCCGAATGAGAAACTATTTTTCGCCGCTGCTTTGCGCGGGTCTACGGCTAGTATATATATATATATATATATATATATATATATATATATATATATATATATATATATATATATATATATATATATATATATATATAGAGAGAGAGAGAGAGTGAGTGAGAGAGAGAGGGAGAAAGAACTAAGTTCAAATAAAAACAGTAAATAGTGTGAGAACGTAAAAACACTATGTTTATATTATTATTCTATAATGAATATTGTATATGTATATTGTTGAAGTAATTCTTCTATGAATATTAATGTTTGATTATTCATATACTTATTACAATGTTATTATTCTGTTATAAACTTATGTATGTGCATTTTCGCATAATAATAACATGAAATAGTGTTTTTACGTTCTGACACTATTTATTGTTTTTATTTGAAATATATATATATATATATATATATATATATATATATATATATATATATATATATATATATATATATATATATATATATATATATATATATATATATAAAAGTAAAAATGTCATGTGAATATCGTTTTATTGTGGATCTTTTTTTATTGAATCTCACTTGGTGTGGAAAAACACAATATAGGAATTTCACGCGATAAAATGAAAAAAAAATTAACATTAATTTTCTGTAGTATTATTTTCAAACAATATAAATAAAATTTGTATATTACACTTATATAAATTTGTATCTTTCTCTATCTCATTCAATATGAATACATGAATCAAAATATAGAGTTTTAAATGTTCTCAAATCATACTTTTTCCCTATCTTATGCACTAAACTATAAAGATCTCATCTACATATGTGAACTATTTATATTTTCTTACTAACCAAATAAATTTAATAATTATCACTTACTAACTATAAATTAGAAACTATTCACTTTTTGTTATTAATTATTTTAAACTTGAAATCATAAGTGCATATAACTAATCAATGTAATTGCAAAAAAAGTTTACTATTTAAATAGGTATATAGATTGGGCATTTTGTCATGCTATTACATTATATATATATATATATATATATATATATATATATATATATATATATATATATATATATATATATATATATATATATATATATATATTCTACTATTATAATTTGACTTTTATAATTATATTAGTTGTAAAACTCAATCAAACAATCATATAAGACATGTAAACAAAAAATATATATCTTTAAAAAATTGAAACAATTAAATTGAAACGTGATCATCTTTAGCTTTTGGCTCTAAATATACAACCATAAACGTTTTATTAAATATAAAGAAAGTAAAAGGAAAGATGTATGGAAATAAAATAAAAAAAGAAGAAAATAACACCGTTCAATGCTTTCTTTTAGAAATCAAAACATCAAAAACCTTCAACATTAGTGATCTATTAGATTTTTATTTGTATACTCTTTGTAATTTTTGTATGTGATTTGTGCGTGAGTGTGTTTACTAAAATGATTGATTTTTTTTTTATAGTAATATAATATATAAATAAGTAGGAACAAAAAAAAAATTATTAGAAATTTATAACTATTATAGTATTTTTCATAAATTTAGGAAATTTGAAACAACATACGTTTCAAATTCATATGGTTTTAGATAACCATTTATCTCTAACGACATGAGTTTAAATTACCTTCATTAAAATATACAAGTGTTTTGTTTGTTGGTGTATTTACTACAACGATTGATCTTTTTTATAGTAATAAAATATATACATAAGCATGAATAAAAAAGTTTATTAGAAGTATATAATTATTGTAGTAATTGATATTAATTTAGGAAATGTGAAAATGAGTAGGTTTCAAATCCATATGGTTTAACATAACAATTTATCTTTAACCACATGAGTTGAATAACCTATTTTATAGTGAGACCGTGAGATACAATCTTATCAACTCATTTTGTAGATAAAAAAACATTTTTAAAATGCAAAATAATTGAAATTTTCGATTTTTTTTTCAAATATTATTTTCAGAAAATTAACACGGTCTCATAAAATTAACATGATCTCAAATAAACCTGAATATATATATATATATATATATATATATATATATATATATATATATATATATATATATATATATATATATATATATATAATGTGGTGAAGTGCGATTTGAACTTCGGTTTTGTAATCATAAGCTCCAAACTGCATCACGAACATTGAAAAATGTATTATGTGGTGCGCTACGCTGTCGGCGGTTTATGTGGTTTGTGCGGTTTGTAGCACACCCTTAGGTCCTTCTAAATACCCATTTTATGTTTATTAAATAAAGTTTTGTTGGTAATTTTAAAAATGGTTAATACAATCAGAAGAAAGTCACTACAAACAAACAATTCTTGTTTTTATACGTTCTATGAGGATTAAAGAACGGCAATACGATTCTTTGCATTTCGGTATATATTATTAATCTATTACATTTTTTCATGTGTTTGGGAGAGAGGTTTTTGATTTTTTTTGGTTATGATGCCCAACTTGCTAAGCCTCTTGCTCTCACTCCCTCAATCATTTATGCCTTTATGATAATTTATTTATAGTTTTATGTTTTATACTAATTTCGATTAAGGGTCATTTGTATTATGATGATTTTTATATGTTTTTTCAGTTATTATGTGTTTGTGGTTTTATAGTCATTTCTAACTTTATAATTATACGCTTAAACAACTCATGTTATCCACATGGGACAAAAAATATACTAAAAAACAAATATTCACAAACTTTCACATGTTTTCAAAGAAAGTCAAACAACTCATGTTATCCACATGAAACAAAAAATATACTAAAAAATAAATATTCACAAACTTTCACATATTTTCAAAGAAAAATAAAACGTGTAAACAGACCACTTTTTTGAAGTGTATCGCATTTTATTCGTGTAAATCACCTATGATACGAGTTGGCGTTATTGCTACCCACAATTCTGGTTGCTTCACTTGTGGTTAACCTCTTTAGGAACCAACGTAAGAAAACTCCATAATCCATTTTATCGCTTGCTTGTTTGTAGTCCGATTGTGGCTTTCAGAAGAGTCAGTGGGAACATTTGGATATCCAAACCTCAAAAAAAACCTGTTGGCATCAATTATATTTACGAGGATATACAGGTACACAAAAGGTTAAAAATATTAAATAATGAAATTACATTTTATTAGACAAATCTTCATAAATGATCCATGTAGTTTCAATGAATATCAAGTTTATTCCGTAACTTTTTTCGGTCCTATAGAAGGTCCTTGTGATTTCAAATTCTATTGTGGTTCGGTCCACACCTATATAAAAAGACTTTTATACCCTTTCTAATTTATTTTACATTTTTTGTAATCATTTTTAGAAAAAATAAGAAAACAACCCAATCCCCAAATCGAATTTTCATCTTCCACAATGGAAAAAACTTCCTTTTGCCTCCTTTTCCTATTTCTCATCGTCTTCTCTTGTAACACCTGTTTCATGTATGAGTAAATTTATTTAAATTTTAGAAATTTATTCTTGGGTTGCCTTGACGTGGTGGGGCTCCACCATGACGTGGCGTTATTTTCTTGGCCGTGGATTTAAATAACTCGCAACAGCTTGGCAATGGGTTTCACATCGTGGTGGCTGATATTGGAGAAACCGTAATCCCGAGGCTTTGGGCCCTGTATAAAGGACATTTTTGCTAGGGTTTTGTGATCATTTAGCCTCCATCACCCTCTCAAGACCAGATATCATAACCCTAGCTTCCCTTGTGTGATATTGAGCTTTTGTGGTGTTTGGTTGCATTTTGAAGGAAGGAGAAGAAGGTGTCAGCCTAATGATATAGCAACAACTCCTCCCCATCCTTGGAATCACTCTATGGACCATTGGTAAATCCTTAAGTTTCCATTTTGTTGATTGTTTGGTTATAAATCTAGCTATATTAGATTATTTTGGTCCATATAGCAATGTTTGGTTGGTTTGATGTGATAAAGGTTGCATCTTTATGACTCCTCTAAGTCCCATGAATATTATATCTTATAGATCTAGACTTTGGCGGAGATTTTTCTTTATCAATGCATGAGTTTAGGTCACCTTTTTGCTTATGTTGACCCAAAATGGAATCTAGACATGCATTGGACATGCATGTCTATAAAACACCCAAATTTATTCTAGATCTAGTATTAGAAACCCTTATGGAGTTGGTTTGGCTATGTATTCTGTGGAAAATTACTTAATGCTTAACCATGTCACGATTTATGCCTTTACTAGATTTTCGATTTGAGATTTTGTCTTGTTAAAGTGTCTTGATGGATAAAGTTGGAAACGTTATCCACTAAGGCATTAAGAAGGAGCAGGTGTGGGTTTTCTAGCCTTTTGTTTTGAGCTCAAAGCAACTTATCTTGATTAAGCTAATCAGACTTCTCCCTAGGATGTGGCACTAGGCTACCACAACGTGGAGAGTAAGAACCAGTCGACTATATTGTCATCTTATGGCCACTTCATGGCCAAGGTAG